TACAATTAACGCGGCGCAACTCGCGGCGAGAAAGTTTGGCGTTGTCGATATCACGGGGATATCGCGGCCGCACCGCAAAATGAACCGGTCGAACCGAGCCGGGTACAGTAGACGGGTTGCTTAAAGCGACCAGGTGAGATGGCTATATCGATTCGTCTCGCCCAAGTATTACGCGGTTAAATGCGGCCGTAATTTAACGTCGGACTCCGTCGCGCCACGATTTCATCTTGCATTTTGTTTTAATTATATCGATCTGCATTTTTACCTCATGAATACACGATGAAGGACACTTCGTATGCGACAATTTGACCTGTGCAATAAATTAGCGACGTGCGTTTGGTGATAAAAATTAATCTTCGTGGCGTGGAATAATAATTCAATATAATTTAGTTCTCGTATTTCGATTTCCGTTACAAATGTACTGCGATCTCTCTAAATCTCAATATTCATTAAATATCAATCTTTGCAGTAGAAGATATAAAAAAGTTGAAAATCTTAAAATGATATTCCGGATGCACATTCTCGATACTTAATTTTTTTTTTTTATTATTTAGTTGTTATATTTTTAATACATTTTGATTGATAAATTGAAAAAAAGTATCACATGCCACCACTTTCTCTTTCTGTAAAAGGCTTTTGCGGAAGAGACATTAATAGCGCGTATTTTCTAATACACCACTTTACTCGTCCTGTTTGAATACACCTGTTGATCCTGCTGAACACGAACCGGTTAGCGTGCAGACCATTTTGCGGCAAAGCAAAGATTCGAAGCGTGCATTATCGTGTGCGTTATCATAGCGCTAAGCGCAATTGCAAAGGTGTCACGTTAGTCTCTGTGGTGGCGGTCCACGACTAATCGAGTATGGTATCAAGACGCACGTAGTCCTGAATAAACGGTTTTATCGTCACAAGTACTTCCTGGTTGCTATGAAAACTCATTTGAAGACGTCGAGGTCAATCCATTAATATTTTTAATTTAAGAAAAATGTGTATAGACATAAAATACTGAAGCAAAATTTTAATATTATCAAGAAGTTAGAGAGTTATTATTTTTATCTATATTTATATGTCCACAAAAAAAAGCTGCTACAGTTCTTAAAAAAACTTATTTAATTCCTAATTTTCAAAATAGTTTCTTCGAACAGAAAAAGCATTGATTGCTAAACAAATCAATGTTCTACATTAGCTGTGAGATTAAACTTCGATGTAACAGGAGAACGCATATCGTAATGGTATAAATTTGGAATCGGGGTTCACGAACCTTCAGGCGAGCCTAAATATTTGGAACGTCGGCACGCGTAAACGTCCGCTATTCAACGAAAACGGTTTAGCTTCGTGAGGCCGCACTTAAACTCTTTCGAGCACGTGTACACCACCGAGAGCAAGAGGCACCGTGTACTTACGTTACGTGTACTTACTTACGTTTGCCAGGTCTGGTCTTCAACGAGGCGATTGCGCCACACGGTGTTTTTAAACGAAATTATATGCGCCCAGAGAGTTTCGTAGTCCTTTATCGAGCATGTATATTTGGACGATGAGCAATTTTCGGTAAATCATCAAGAGACCTAGATTTACTTTGATTTATTGATACTGAATTGATGAAGTTAACACTGAAGTAGTGCAAAATAATTCATAAACTAAAACAAATTTATTTCAAAAACATATTCTTCGTGAAAATAGATCATTCCTAAAGAGTTTGAGATAAAAAAAGTTCTGTAATAAAAAAGAAAGATATCAGAAGAACTCGAATCAGAGAAGATCTTCAGTACTCTGACACTAGCCAGAACTATGACATCACATTCTAATTTGAAGAATCAGAATTAAATAAATACTATCTTGCGCAGCCTTAATTTAACTCTGCTATCTAATCTAAATTAAGTCACTTCTGATTATTGCCCAGTTTATTGTAAAGAATTATTTTTAATAAGAAAAAGTAATTATATGGGAAACCATAGCTTGCGATATGATTTTAAGCTACAAAGTAAAACGCTCATCAGTTATTTATAATTAAGAAAATATTAGTCTCTCAATATTTTTTTATAATAGAAGAATCAGATATATCAAATAATTTGTGAATTAAAAGTTTTATTCAAATGTAAAAAAGTGATTATTATTATTACAGTTAGATTCATCTGTATGTTTTACTAATTGTGAGATTTCACAAGCTATTTCGCAAAATCAGAGTATCTTGAAAGACGAAGATCTACTTCCTTGACGAGGCGTTCGCATAAACGAAGCATAATTCTCGGCGGATCGCCCTCTCACGCGTGTAATCGCGGAATTATGTCACGACATAACTACGCGATTCCTCGACGGAGCTGGTTACGTCATGTCGCCGATGCGTGGAAACAGGGAGAGACGTCGCCGTCTGCGTTACATATTTGGTAGGATATTATGCGACGAGGTCGAACGATTGAATACACACGATGCATCTGCAACATGTAAGCGAAGGAGAAACCGATCATTATTTTTGCAGAAAGTTGACGAAGTTTGCGCGTGAAAAGAAAAAGAAATATTAATGAATGACTTTTTTACACGTCTAATAGTTGAATTGCTCGATTAAAAGGACTTTGTCAACAAATTTTATTGTTTTAACTTATTTTGATATTTTATATCTGTTTTGCTGAATATATGCTGATTATATGTAAGAAACGCGTTTCTTTTTTGATGAAAAGAGGAGAAGAGATCAAGCCGCGCGAATAAATCTTGTGAGAGAAGAAGATGCGGAATCAACTTACACACGCGCGTTTGCTGAGATTGCTAGAAGGAACTGCGTTGAACGATCCCACGCGTCTAAGTTAATTGCCCGAATTACACTGACGACGCAATATTGATATTAGGGGATAATGCGCGCACGTGGACAGCTTCGTTAAGTGGCGGTGCCATAAATTTAGATAGTTTATCTATCTATATATCTATATATCTATATATCTATCGATATATTCAATTTATCTTTTACAATTGGTAAAAATTCAATGATCCAAAATATGTTAGGAATAAAAAATTAAATTCTTAATTTAAATTGCCTTATATTCAAACATATATTTCTTAATTTCTTGGAAAGAAGTAACATGTTTAATTATCTCAATATTCGCAATGTTTAATTATCTCAATATATTATCGTATTCAGAATTTCTTCAACTTCATTTGATAATTTCTTGCGCTGCATTTTTAAATTATTATGTAAATTAACGATGTAAAATACAATAATGACACATTGAAATATTTTTTATTAAGAATTTTGTATAGGTGTAAAAACGTTTTATTACGCAAGAAAACAATAGTAATATAAATGTCATATATGTTGCTTATCAACCTGCATTATATTTAGTTTAGGAGTATGATAAATTTAATGATGAGAAACTTGCAGTTGTCAGTAATGGGAAAAAATTACTTTTAAGACTGTTCTACCACGATATAGAGCTTCATGGAAGAGATCTTCTCTTCCACGATATTTAAGTAGAACGACGTCGTCCTTCACAGTAACATAATGACGACATTGAGATTATGCACCGGCGGTTATATCATTGAATAAGTAATAGCCTCAGGATGCGACCGAGCTTAAAAAGTTTCTCAAATCATGTTTATTATATCACACGAATTTTTTTTATTGTATGAACTTCTCAGAATATAAAATCAATTACGCCACTTGAAGAAAGGAAAAGATCGCTCGTTATCTCCGCCGCGCATCGTGTTCTGCGACGAAAAATAAGACGTCACAAACGGCAGAGCAAAAATCAGACACGTGCAGAGAGATCGCGGATAAGCAAAGAAAGGGGCGAGGGAAAAGAAGAACGAGAAACGATGCCCGGACGGGTACACGATGTTGCGAAGGTTCCTTGGAAGCCCGGTCGATCCTGGAGTGCGTCGTTGACACAAGCAGAACTTTCATCTACAAGGCAAATGTGTGGAAGCACGATTCCGTTTTCGTCCTCTTCCACGTTATTCAAATAGAGCGCGGCCTTCGTAATGCACTGGCGTAGTCGCCAGATTATCACATAACAATATTAATTTAGAAATTTAGAAATTAATCCACGTCGTTAAAAGATTTGTCAATATTTGTTAATACATGACAAAGCTTTTTGGAAAAGAAATGCAATTTACACAATAAATTATACATTAAATAATTTTTCCAATTAAAAATTAATATTAATTTGTGTTAAATGAAATTATTTTAAAGCATTGAAAGCATTGAATCACATAATTGTTTTTGTCGAAATGGCTATAAAGTAATAGCTAACGCTATATATTTTTTAAGATTATTAAAATAATTTCAAAAACAGAATTATTTTATTCATTAATTATAATAAATATCGTAAGCTTTATAACGTTTAAAATCTCAAAGAAGAGTCCAAATTGCGAACAACAATCTGAAAATTAAATTTTAATTCTAATGTTTATTTTTATTTTTATCAAAATAAGAAAAATGTGAAGATACAACAAATGTTTTTAATAGTAATTATTATTGTGCATCTCGATTTATAGATTTTGCTTAGAGACTTACGCCACTGGTTGTGCAATCAATGCGCTCTTCCTCTTCAGCAGTCCCTGTGTTCCTGATTCCGATTTTTTAACGATATAATAAAATCTTTTTTAATCAATTTTTATCACGACCCTCACAACGAGATCCGTTGTCGCAGATATTTTATTCCCATTCTGGACAAACGCGATTTATCAAGTTACGTAATACACGTTTTCTGTTGGTACGCAGCGTATTTCCCAATTACCGCTGCGACGCTCGTCGTTAACAAAGTGCTGTTGTCGAACATGAAATTAGAAATATTAAACTCCACAAAAACCTTTTCGAAAACTTATTTTCCGACGTTATTTGTTTTCAGAATAAATAGTATTTCATAAATCCCAACTCACTTCGATCGTGGCTTATGCGCTAAACCGCTTATTGAAATCCAAGTTTAAGTCGGTTGTTTAAGCTTTTGTCTACATATCGAGTTTTTTTACAAATAATTTCCTAACAAGTCTTCGCTCGCAATGTGTTTCAGATTTGCAGAGACTCGTACAAATGCAATTGTACCGGAGTGAAAGGGCAACAAGGATTCCCTGGGATACCAGGGCCTCAAGGAACAGAAGGACTTCCAGGTGAGATTGGACCCGATGGACCTCCCGGACCTAAAGGCGAAAAGGGAGCGGGAGGGGAAATTGGAGGTACCGGAGAGAAGGGCTACCGAGTGAGTAAATTTATTTTATATTACTAGATCTCTCTCGTGACGCTCTTTCCGCGATTTTCTGTCTGCGAGAGAAACTTATTAAAAATAATTATTAACGTTATACAAAATAATTTTTAACATTTTAATGCAAAGTACAAACGCAAGACATTTACAATTGCGTTTGAACGCAAAAATATTGTATTGATAATTTTGCGAAAATTATTTTTCTTTCCGCTTCTCCTTCTAGTGCAATAATTCTATCCATTTATTTTACACATATGCATATGCGATTGCCAATTAGAACAGTAATTAGTTTCTATACATGCAGTTGTTCAGATTTTAATTAAAAATTCGTAATACAACATGAATTTACTTATGGACGCGATAACCATTATTATTTTAATAAAATAATAATCAATTTAGAGGGTAAACATTCACGTGAATTTGCGCGAAAAAGATTCTCGTTTAAAAGAATCAGTTGTCAGAAATTATGCGCTGAAAAATTGTCCAAGCTTAGAAATTTTATTTTGCCATGTTGATTAAGGATTAATAGAGGTTAAATGTAAAAAATATATTGTAATGCAATTACACGGGCAAACTCTGCGTTTTAATTATAATAATTCTCCATTGCCGTATTAAATTCAATATATAACGACTACTCACGCGATTCTAAACGACTATCATTACTACATAAACCCGCTATTAAGAAAACACACAAAGTGGATTATTACTATAAAAAACTGCGAAATTACCCCTGCCATTAATTTCTTCTGTCATTATTAATCCCCAATACAAGTCTTTTGTATTTGAAATTGTAAAATATTTTCACCAATTAAGTTTTTATTTGTCAAAAAAAATGTTGAATCTCTTATAAAATGATAATAAATTCATTAAAGTAAAAATTGCTAAATTTTGTGCATAGTTATTATTTTTAAAATAACTACAATTTTTTTATTTTTTTATAGATAAAAAGTAAATTAATTAGGTCATATATTACGTGCTTTCGTAAAGTTTATAAAAGCTTTTGCCTAAAACTGACTTATTCCGCCGAAATGTTCTCTTATTCCACTCCACTCGAGAATCACAAATGCTAAATGACTTAAATCGCGACTCGTGAACTGGAACGGCAATACGGAATGCTTTCAAAACTACGTGTGCGACCATTAAAGAGATGAAAAAAAGTATCTTCATAATTGGGTCGCGGAGAGCGAAAGGATTAAAAAACGTTGATGGGAACGACAGACGTATATTCGTCGTATTCTTGATTCCCCATTCGAACGCGATTGTTCGCCACGGCATGTGCTCCGGGATGGGATGGGAAGAAAAAAAACGGAAAGAAACGCCGTGGCGTCACCGACCAGAAACAGAACGCTTCCAAATGCGGAGGAAGAGGGAAGATCGCGAACGCGAGAGAGAATTACGGGCGGACGGACACCCACGATGCCCGCCCTCACTACCGAGAGCTGTTACACAAAGTCGCTACGAATCCGCTGTCTTTCGCAATTTGTCGGCCGGCATCGATGTGCGACACCGTGCGATATGATACGGGACCGGAGATAGACGGGAACTGCTTCAACTGAACATGTCACGCAGCCGATTGTACTCCTTGCAGTAAATTCGAAAATATGCGGTTTATCTCGAAAACACTCGCGCAAATGTGGCAGACTTATCCCTTTGCCAATTTAATCCGCATTTAATCGCAAATTATTACAAAATATCAGAAATATTATAAATTACCAGAAAAAATATGTAATAAATGACTGCTTTGTAATAATCGCGTAATTTTGCAATAAAATTTTTAACTTTAAGCTAATTTCCAAATGAACTAAATTCAACGCTTAACTTAGATTTTTATTAATATAAAATTATCATTTATTTCAAGGCAGAGAGTTTTAGATTCTGTTCGAAAATTATGAATATAAAAAGAAATCTAAATCATAGATGCATTAATGAACTTTTTCTTTATTTCTTTTTATTAGAAACTAGGCAATGTGCGTCACAGTTGTATAATGGTTTGAAATATAAATCAATTTGTTTTTATTTTATTTTTCGTTTAAATTTCCTTCTACATTCTTTATTTTCAGTTTTTATTTTTTAATTTTTAATCTCTCAATCAATCGTTTCTAAGCTGTCAATACCGAGTTCAGCATTGGAATTTCCATATAAAATTTAACGTACGATTGACAATCAATCAGTATTATAATATTTACGATACTACTAGATTCTCGATTCTTGTTTTTTAGCATTGGATGTAACATTATAATATATTATTTTAACAAAGAATTTTATTTTTCACAAACTTTATTATTTTTTATAGTTTTTAAAGTAAAAAAATTTTCCTGAAAAACTTGTAAATAGGTGATTATTTAATTAAAAAGGATTTTCTCTCAAGTTACGCAAAAAATAAAAATATTTAGGAGAATTATTAATTAGTATTATGCATTACAAAAACAGATGGATAAAGCAGACTTCATTAATCACAATTGCAAAATCTTACATTTTATTAGGATAATAAAATTACATCGCGGCAGAAATCTATTATTATCGCGTTGACGCATGATGTGTAAAGCAATTTAACGTCGCAATTATCGAAATATCTCGAATAAATAAAACATTGCACGACAACAATAACAAAAGTGTTGGTGTTCGCACGAACGTGGTCGCATCGACACATATTGCGCTTATTAATTGCACGAGGGCGCAAATTATTCATTCGCGTGCGGACTGCAAAATAGGACGGCTTCAATCTTCGTAACTGAAACTTTGAATTAAATTCTCCACATGACGATTATAATTTGACAGTTTACACGTGCATACATATCTTTTATAATTACTTATATGTCCATTTGATTTTAGTGATTAATTGTGATAAATGCAGTACACAACACATGTTCCAGAAATAAACAAACTGCTTAAGGAGAGCCAATTTTAACTGAAATGCCAAGATGTTCAATATTAAAATTCAATGGGCTATCAAGAAATGTTATTACAAATTATTATCCATATTAGCCTAATTTTAATAATACACTATTTTGTTATTAAAATACTTTTTGTAGTATGTCAAGTTCTATTTTTGTCATTATTATTCTATCTTCTGGAAACTATTTCTTAATCACCTCTCAAAATTCTTGATCAAAAGATATCTTTACAAAGAACCGCTAACACTGGATCCTCTAACGTGATTTATTTACTCGTGGGCGTACATGGCTCGCGATCGTTTAACTGGAACCGAAGAAGTTCCAAGAGATATAATGTCGATAACCGGAAGTGGCTTGTTACTTTCTTGGTACATCAAACAGTCCACTTTCCACCCGTTCTGAAAACTTTCGATCGAAGCGAGCAGGAAGTGCCTTCTTCGCCATAAATTCATTACACAAGAACGAAAATTCTGGTTATCTCTCTATAGGCGTTGCCACGTGTGCCGCAATTCGCCAATTACAACGACGTGTCACACGGTCTCATTTGCGGTATGCGTTGCTCGCTAATTGTGTTGCATCGATCGTTCGACCGCGATGCGTGCCGACAATATCTTCGGCCAGCGCATGTGATTAAAGTATCCGTAAAGAAATGCGGGAAGGTTCCAAATATGAAAATCTCATTCTCGTTTAATTTCAAAAAGCTTTACTCGAACAAACCTCTAATTTGAAGATTATTTGCAACAAAAAAATTAGAAAATAAAGTATTTATTCAGAAAAAAAGAAAAAAAAGTGTAAGAGTAATGTATAACATTTACATACATTTCTCGCGATAAGAACTTATAAGATGCAACGATAGGGAAGTCAAAGGCCGCGCGAAATCCGCAACTTTCAAATGAGATGAGTCTTTAATTTGTGAGATTCACATTGTAGATACGATTTCTTATTTAAATTGGATTTTGCAAACTGTAGACTTGTCCGATTTCCGCGCAGAAGTTTTCAATTCGAACACATAGATAGAAATCAATGGAAGCAATAGGAATCAGGTCGCCGAGGAGGAGACGAGTCCGCAAAAGGAAAAAGCGCAAGGAGCGGGCTTATCGCCTGGCAATGCGAGTAGCCGTTTAAAAGGCACGAGGCATGACGAATTACGCATTCTGTCGCTATAATGAACAGCCGTCGATTCGGGAACGCATTCACTCCTTCTTCTTCCTTTTCTTCTTCTTCCCACCGCAGCAAATCTTCTGGCTGCTTCCTCGCTTTTCTTTTTTCACGCCTCGCTGTGTATG